TAGCAGCCCCACCCCCTCCCCCTCGCGCACTGAAATGGGCAAAACGGAAGCGGAAGGTTCTTAAAGAGACAGAGGCCAATTTCAAGGCATTTAGAAGAGGAAGTGATGAGAAGATAAATTTATTTTCTATTTAAACATAAAAAGGCATTTTAATAACAACTAAAGGTGACATAGATACTTTATTATGGTATAGTATTTAAACGTATGCCTGAAAAACACATAGTATTGGCCCTTTAAAGGATGAGGTCAGTCTTTCAGAGAAAGGGCTCAGAGTAATGTCACTGATCCTGTTTGAAGAAGACTCCTTCCCAGACTGTTCCAAGACAAAACTTCTGGAGATGTTGGTGCAAACTTAAAACTGGCTAGAGAAGATGCTATATGACTCAAATTTTGGGGGAATGCCTCAATGGTTGATGGTCCTGCAGAAGTGGAACATATAGCTGAGGTTCGTAGCTCCTACCGTGTCTCAGATAAGCAGCAGATAATAGACGGATGGTTTTAATCTATTTTATGACTTCAGAAATGCTCGTACATTCACACATCACCCACACACTTTTTACCTTCATTTGATTATACTAAATATTTTCCTTTGCAGTTACAGAAAATCTACAACATCATCACAAAATGACACATTTCCCACAAAAAAGAAAAAAAGATATAAAAAACCCCACATTGTTTGCTTACAGTTTATGAACACACTACCAGAACAGCATGTCCCGACAGATGAAAGTATTCTTGTCTTTCTCGTCTCAGGCATCTTGGTGAAAAACGTGCCACCTTGGAAAGCCCAGAGAGAAAAAAAGTAGACTCTGTAGGGAAAATCCTGAGCATGCAGTAAATTATTCATTAGCTTTTTGGCAGAAACCTGCACAAACTGGATGGGAACTTAGGTGGGCTTTTTCGAGCCAAACTACAGATCAGAGGGTGGTAGGGTTATAGCTTATATCTATCTGTGTCTGTCGACTATATACTGGATGGCTTCATGATGACTCACACATGAGGCAGGGAAAGCAGGAGCAAACTAACCAGTGCGAAAGCTCACTAAAGCTTTTTTTAAACACACAAACCACACTGAGGGGTTGTTTGTAGCAGATGAGTTGTCACCGCTGCCAACGCTCCAGAGTGACACCAGGACAGAGCCCACAATCAGTGGAACATGCTGCAGAAAATCCACTGCAGAAATGACGTTATTTCATTAACAGCATTTCCAAGGTGAGCCATCCATTCTGCAAAAGTTGTTTTATTAATAATACCCCTGTTACATGCATTGGAGTGGATCTGTACTATTAACGAAGTGGAAAGTGATAAGCAGTGGAGCAGAATAGATGATGGCAGGGTCAACGTCATCGCTCGACTTGAGTTCTGTGGACAATTAATGTTTCTTTCCTTCAAGGTTCTCAGTCAGACATTATTAAGACTTCTAGGAATCTGGCTGAGTAAACTGCACAAAGTCTGACTAATTTATCCATTTGCATATTCATAAACTGCTCCCATTGTGAGCGTATTAAATGTTTTAGAGGCTGCATTGAAAGTGTGGATGAAGTTCAATGATTGCAGAGGAAAGAGCTTCATGGGAGCTGAGCTGCAAACTCCTCCACATTTACAATTTGGGCCCATGCTTCAAGTGTAACCGCGTTGAACTTGGCCGTAACTTAGTCCAACTCGGTCCAAATAAGAGTAAACCTGTTCTGTTTCTGTTTCTTCGTATAGTTTATTTCTGCGTTGTGTTTAAATGATGGTCAGGAGACGAGGTGTTGCCGAGAAGAAGGTTATTCTCTTGGGGCTCACTGTGATTGGAGGACCGAATTGAGAAGGACCAAAAAGAGCAAAAGGGCAAGGTACTCTGAGCGGAGGTGGAGAAATGGATGGCGAGTAAGATGTGAACCCAGTGAGCGGGTTCCTGGGCCAGTTCCTCTGCAGGGTCTACAGGGTGTTGGGTAATAAAGGGACCAGTCAGCACAGATCCATCAAGTTAGTTACAGATGCAAAAGAAGTGATGCTGAGGTGGTTGTGGAGTTGGAGAGGTACCTGGAGACAAGCTGGGGCTTTTTCAACCCTGATAGTATCACCTGGGTGAAGGAGTCTTTTTGTTAAAAGTGCCAAAAAAAACCCATCAATCCCAGGTTACATCCCTGATGATGTCCAGGAGTACCACAAGATGGTGTATTAAGGTATCACAAAATCTGTGTAATGACTCATTGACTTAGATAAAGCCGTTTTGGGTTGGCCATCTTAAACCTTTCTGACTCCAAATAGTGATCAGTTATAGATGCACAGTTCTGAAATTTTTGTTGAAATCCATCCAGTGGCTTAGAAGATATTTTGCTAACAGACAAACAGAGTTGATGCCAATAGTCATTTTAATCGAAACTATAGCACAACATTTAGCAGCTTAGAGTAAGTGTTGGAGATGAAGCTCAGCTACTACCACCTAAAATTTTAGCTGAATGTCCATGAAAATGATCTGGGTTACAGTTGTTTTCATGTTTTCTGATGTCACTTGGCCGCCATCTTGAATTGGCTTATAGCTTCAAAAGCTGAACATGAAGGCTGTGCCCAAATTTCAGTGGCTGCATGCTTTGAAGGCCAAATCAGTTGTCCTCTTATGTCACTGTTGTTCGAATTTGAAGACTCCTCTAATTGCAGTTCACTTTTTTTCCGGATTTGAGGGGCGACTTAAGGATTTGGACCAGCCTATCCCAAGATACATTGCAGGCTGATCAGAGATTTTTTTCTTGGATGGAGCGCCTGGGGTGGGCTTGCCGGCCTGGACGCATGGCGGTGGGAGCCAGGACGGAGCGACTAATCTAACAAGTGAGGCGCACCAGCTTCCCTTTTGCCCATTTGGATCAATATCAGCCATGCCCTGTTTTTCGGTTGAGGATCAAACTGGAGCTACTGGTTTTGGTGAGCATGCTCGTGTCCGACATGGTAGGAACCATGTTATTCAAGCCTTGAAATGTGCGCCATTCAGCGAAGAAAAGAACAGCAAGCTACTGACTGGCTTCAGAACCTCACCTGATCGGGTA